CCTAATTCTGCCTACCCAGAGACCTTGTCTTCAGCACTGGGAGGAACATCCATCTGAATTACAGAGCTCAGTGCAAGCTATTTTCAAATAAAACAACCGCTAATATCAGTTCATCAGTCCATTTGATTTTGATGACTTTTTAAAAATATTATAAAAGGAAACATAAAAGTAACTTTCTGTTGGTCTGTTTATTTACATGGCAGTAAGGAAAAGGAATTTTTTTTTATTCAACAGACAGAGGTTCAGGAGTTCAATTCTACTACCTGGTGACAATGCCTAGGAGGTCACCTAGCTTCCACCCTCTTTCATGTATGTCCCCCCTCATTACAATATTTGTAATAGCATAGTACCTATAAAATATAAGAAAGATGAGCACAGATGAGATAAAGGAGAGAGCAAGTCAAGAAACAAATATGAAATTAAAAATGGCAGTAATAGTTGTTGTAGCTAGACCTCCAGGGCATCGATAGAGAAAGTGATTGATAGCTACTAATTTTCAAAAAAAGATCCAAGCATTTGCGCTTCAGGAGAAGCTGCTTTTCCTAGAAGTAAATTTCAAAGTGGCTGCTTCTATGGAACCTCATACAGAAGAACTGAATGGTAACAAGAGCACTATTTTCTGCAATATTCTCACAGAGGATGATGGTAATGGGTCACACATGGATGACCTTGTCACATCTTTGTGACCTGTGATAAAATTGTGAATTATTAACAGTTGGTTTTGACCACATGAATATGAATTTATTTGGGGTGGGACATCACCAGGGCTGTTGGGCCCTTATGCGACCTTACTAAGAATCCTCACCTCCTGAATTCATGCTGCTCTAGGATTTCTGTCCCTGGCGTGTGGAGAGGACCTACGACTTGTTCCTAGTATGTGTTCTGGCAAAACAAGCACCCACTGGCTTGTTTCTAACCAACAAGATTACAGAACAAATGATGCGATATTAATTCCATGATAATGTTCCATAAGATTGTAACTTTTAATCCAAGTTCTAAAGGAACCACACGTCTGGTCACCATCTTAATTGTGGCATCATAATTCGCTGATCAGGAGACCTAGCTAAGCCATGCACAGGCTCTTGACTATAGGAACTATTATCTAAGCCATGTGGTACTATAAACTGCTAAGTACCTGGAAATTTGTTAGCAATAATAAACTGTTCTGACAAAAAGTATAGAACAACATGGGTGCTTCTGTTAGAGTAAGTGAATACTGGTTAGTCTTGAATTTTAGATTTTGATCACTTTATGAGGTTCTGATTATGATGCCTCATTTCCTTTTTAATGTCAATGCCAAATCTCAAGGAGAAGCATTCTTTGTAATTACGGGAATTACCTTGCTGTACAGTCAGAGTTATAGACGTGTGAGGTACATGCTGAGATAATTAGAAACTCATAAAATCAAAGACAAGAATAGAACTTGGGTATGTATGAGCTTATGACAGGTGACATAAAATAATTCCTCTAGGGTCTTCAAGGCTCTTCATAAGATTCATCACACGCAGAAAAACCAACCTATTTTTAAAAATATACTTTCATAATCACTGCCCCAAAAGAGTTTTAGATGAATATATTCAGGACAGGGAATGGTCTTTGGTTTAGATGATAGATTAAATAAATTTTTCATTCCTTCAATACTGATTCACCATATAATTTGATTATCTTCAATGAGCAAGCCTCTTCCAAAATGATGGAGATAGAGCAACAAAGAGTGCCATTCTGCCATTGAGACAGGAATCATGACTGTTCCAAAAAAAATTATTCTGTGCAGAGACACTCCAATAATTTTATGCTCATTGGATTCACCCAACAACTGTTTGGTGTTATATCTATTTATATCAGTAAACTGAGGTTTCAAAGTCATAAAGCAAGTTAGGATCCAAGCTGGAATTCAATAGTCTTTGGACTCTGTAAATTGCATTGGTCACTTGACTCTATTTATTTTTTAGAGAAAAAAAAAGCAAAATAGCAAAAAAGGTAGAAATAATGCAGAATTTCAGAAAAAGGTAAGAAATTTCTAGTAAAAATATAATGGTAAGAAATCACTAGTTGATAAATTCCATATTGTTATCTTAGAAGTAGTTGTTCAAGTTACAAAATCAAAGCATAAAAAATGGATAATCAACTAAAACTTGTTTTCAATAAACATTTGATAACAGTTTCCCACATTATGCTTATGTTTATTGTAAACAAGTTTAGTATAAACATTTAGAAGTTATGGATGAATAAAGGGAGGAAACAATTCACCTTTCTACCATTGTTTTAAGCAGCATCATGTTATGTTTCTTTTTTATAGATTTTTTTTTTTTTTGTACCGGGAATTGAACTCAGGACCTTATATCTGACAGGCAGGAGCTGTGCTGCTGAGCACTTTTGTTTTTTTACAGATCATTTTTTAATGAGTGGACAAATGGATGGATAATAATCTGTGTGGGAATAATTTAATGAAGCAATTTGTGTTTGATCTTCTGATCTCGTTATGCCTCTTGCTACAGGGATTTTTGCAGGGAGCTACTCAAAATCAGCCACTCTTGCTGACCTTTTTAAAAGCCTAAAACTCATACAAGGGGTAAATCTTCCCTTGTCCTAAAGAAAAGTGGAAGGAATTATCCTGTCTGTTCAAAAGGAGAAAGATGCTCCAGCTAGACTGGGAGGAGATAAACACGGATAGCTCCCAAGTGAAGCGTCTAGCTGGCCTCTGAGGAGGTGAAGGCGAGCAAGCCCTCAGAGAGGCACAGATGTGTGGTTCACAAAGAGGCTGAACTCCAGGCATGCAAAGGGCCCAAGTATGCCTCAGCACTACTCATTCATAGGACCAGGGACCAATGCACAACTGGGTATGGACTGGAGAAAGCCATCAGCCTCCAGAGAGGGCTCTGGAATTTGAGGGTCCTCCTGATATCTGAGGGCCCCTTGAGACAGGGATCCTTTAACAGCTCAGAATGCAAAGCTCTAGTCACCATGAAAATGAAGCATCCTGTCATTCTAGTAGGCAAAATGCTCAGAAGAAGCCTGGAGAGAAGTAATGTGACACGCCTGGAACGTCTGGCTTTGTGGACCAGGGCCATAAAATCCCAAATACAAATATTAGTATGAGATAGCAATCTTGTAATCAATTTAGGGGCCAGGCAGATAAACAAGGCAGAATCTCTCTACTTAAAATTTTTGATGTAAAAAGCAAATTCTTTAAGACTTACATGTGCTAACTGATTGATGATTTTGATGCTTTTTCAGTTTTGTGAATAGCAATATACAAGTTAAAAGAGATAAGAGCAGTAGATAAAAATAAGCAGAGGGAGAGAGAGAGAGAAAAAAAGAGGGGAGGAAGTCAGAATAAACATCTTTACTTGATTGTGGAGTCAGGAGCCTGGTAAGTAAGTCTTAAATTTGGAAAGGTAGCCAGTAGGCTAGAAATTTGTCAACAGAGCTGATACTTTAGATTTGAGGGAAAATTTCTTCCAAAAAATTTCATTTTTACTTTTAAAGATCTCCAGCTGATTGTGAGGTTATTATATTATAGAAGACACTTTCTTTTACCCAGTCAGCTTACTGTTAGCTCAACTTACCTGAAAAATAGTGTCCCTTACATTCCTGTTGAATAACTGGGTGTTTGAACCTAGCCAAGCTGATAAAGCTCACTCACTATTCCCACGGGAACAAGGAGACTTGCGGTACAGTTTGAAGACTCCACGGAATGGAGGAGGATAAAGAGCATGGCATACGGAAGGCAGTTTTGGGGAATAATGTATGGATGTGTGGGGCTGAAACCAGGAAAGAAAAATAGAGACAAGACAGCAAAAGTCAACATAGTGAAAAATGTCCCATGAGGTGTTCAGCTCAAAAGCCAACGGATGGTGTATAAATTCTTGAAGGACAGGTCCAGAAACAGCACAGAGAATGATGGGAAAGTATGTTTAAAAAGCCAAGAGAAGAGATGATGGTCTGAATATAAAATCTGGCAGTGGGACTCAGGAACAGCAGTGTCACAGGGAAGATGAAGCAGTGCCACAATACACAAACTCGTGACTCTCCATGTCGGTCACTTTAACCCACCTTTATGGCTCTTTCACCAAGGTCTGTGACCTGGAGTTGCCATTGATATCTTCAACACTATGGTCTGTTTAGCCACTGTTTTTACAGGGAATCCCTGGGCAGCACCGAATAGGAGGGACAGTAAATGTAAGGCACTCTGACAGGTATTTTTCTGGGTCTCTTGACTGCATGGTCAGGAGTGAGTGACTGTGTCTGTGCACACTTGTGTATGCTCACAGGTACATACATGGCTTGAATGGCTATGTGCTTGTGTTGGAGCCAATATTCTCTACACAATCACTGTCAGAGTGCCCTACATTTACTGTCCCTCCTATTAGGTGCTGCACTGCAAACTGGGCCCAGCAACACCTCAGCACAAAATAAAACTGTAACAGCATAGCATGAGGGTATATAGAGGTGTGGATTGCCAGATATTTTAAATTCTGATTCTATTTGTGTAATTATTCTTGGAGACTTACCAAGACAGAGAAGGAGGCCCGAGTCTGAGAGGATTTGCCTCTTTCTAGTGTCATCTGCAACAATTACCACCCACCATAGATGGTGTCAGGATCTGTAGTAGTCTCAATCTAAAAATTCATGAAGTGCTCCCCAGATCAGCCTTGTGCTTACTGAGTCCCAATGCTGCTGCCTCAGTAGACCAAACTGACACCTTAAATCTCCATCTGCACATGTACACCTGTCCCAGTATTTCTTCCTTGCCCACCTCTTTTCCCTTTAGTCAATTATTATCTCAAGCTTTCTCCCAGCTCATTTATTATCCTTAAATTTCAGAAAGTAAATTCAATTATTTGTGTATGGCCTCTGGAAATCATTTTATTCAAAGCATCTTGCATTGGATATGCATGCCATATTCTGAACTGGAGCACAAAGGATACAGAAATGCATGAGAAACAGTGTCTTGCCCTCTAAAAGCTCAAGAGAAAAACTATGGAGGTGATAGAGAAAGTCCAGGATTGAGAAGCACATCAGTATCAGTCACATTCCTGATCTGGTACTACACACTCGGCAATTGATGAAGAGGAGTCTCTTAGAAGTAGCTCACAGGTCGAAGATGGAGCTGACACACCAAACCTCAGGGACCAGGTGATGCGGGCTGACGTGGAGTTGCAATCTTGCTGTATCTAGTGGAAACAATGTTTGAGAGCAAAGGTAAGAGACTGATAATACTGTAAGTTCCTTTCTTGATGGCCAACAGAAGAGCTTTAGAGAAAGAGCACTGTTGGCTCCGAGATTCCTGGAATTGACTCCGGGGCAGCAGCATCCAAAGGAAGCAAGGCATTTCTCTTCCTCCCATCTGAGCTATTAGATGATGCCTCTCGAGTATCTTTGACTCTTGGACTTGTCCAGTCTTATCTGTGAACTAAAGAAAAACAGCGGACAGGGAGAGGCATCCATGAGGATGAGGCAGAGGAAAAAATAAAGCAGAATGAGATACACAATGGTGCTTCCTAAACTTGCTTACTTTGTGGTAAGCATAGAAATTATCATGTGTAGAACACATCTGGATACATGCATGATTCTGCGCATGTCCACTCAGCTAGCCCTGAGGGTGGGCTGTGGTATCCTGGTCACACATCTATCATGCAGACTGACTAGGAGAGGAAGAGAGGCAGCCTCAGCTAACTACGCCTATGAAAGAGATGCTGCAATCAGTGGCAGAATTTGGAGCAAACATCAGAGAGACTCCCTAGACCAGGGAGCTCCAGAAGAAGCACCTTGCAAAAAAGATTACTCTTCTTCAGCTTCAGAGATCTGGGCTTTAGAAAAATCTCATCCCCTCAGTACTTGGAGCTACCACAGTGCTGAGATCTTTCCAAGCCTATTTAGGCAGTGGGGAGTGTTTTTAGATCCTCTCTCCACTGACCTCAGCTGGTGGTGCCTCTCTGAGTCTCCTCTGACTGATAGCTGCAGGGTAGTAGATAGGACTTCTCAGGAAATGGTAAAAATGAATGAGGATGCAGATGCAGAACTCAGGACAGAGAAAAGGGGAAACCAAGGCCCTGCAGAGTCCCCACCCTGTACTTCCAACCAAGTGATATATTCTGCCCTTCCTACTGCCCCATGCAGCAGCTATTCAAGTCTAGAAAATGGAGCCTAACTCAGGGCTGCCACCTACCTCTCTTCCTGCAGGGACAAGTCACTACTGCTCACAGTTCTTGGAGGATCTGTAGAAGAGAAGATGGGGTGTTAGGCTGTATCTTCAGCGTGAGGAGCCTTCCTAGAGTCATATGCCTGTGATTCAGCTTCAGAGATCTGGGCTTTAGAAAAATCTCATCCCCTCAGTACTTGGAGCTACCACAGTGCTGAGATCTTTCCAAGCCTATTTAGGCAGTGGGGAGTGTTTTTAGACCCTCTCTCCAGCCTTTCCACCTGCACCTGGGCCTCAGGCCTGTTCCTTCCTATCTCCCTCTCCTATATGATGACAACCATCAGACTGAAAAGATCAGTAAGTACTCACAACTTGGGTCATGGCAGCTTGAGTCATGTCTTTCTCATGAAGAAATAATGGCTTCATAAAGAACGTTATCCCAGGAAAGCTCTTTAAAGGTGGTACATTATCACCTAGGACAAAGCATTTGGAATGAGGATCTTGGTGATGGCAGATCTCCATGGCCTCTGAAGTCCCAGCCTAGACAGCTCCTCATGGTGCAACATTCACATTTCTCCAACACTCATTCTGCTGCCAAAAACCAGAATCCTCGAAATCACGAAAGTGACAGTCCAAGTCCCTAAGCAGTAGACTTGAGCTAGATTAGTCACCTTCTTCCCTACTGGTCAACTGCCAAAACAGCCTGGGGACCTCAATGGTTCCAACTGCCACTGGGCGTGGTGGGGGTTGGGGGGAGCCTGGGAGCCAGAGAGTTCCCTGTCCTTTTCACTAACGGCCACTTTCACTCACTACCCCTGGGGAAGAAGTAGCTCTGAAGCTCGGAGGAGGAACCTCGTGTTTCCCAACTCCCTTTGAAGAAATAAGGGGTCAAAAAGACCACTAAATAGCTTATTGGTGTGAGCAAACTCATTCCCTCGATTAATACTCTTAAAAAGAAATTATATGCCTATCCAATCAGACAGATAGAATATTCATATGACTGCGCCTACCAGGCACAGGTATTGCCAGAGAGGTAGGTGGGATGGTGTCTGTAAGAGTAGACCTTCAGACCTTGCCAAAGACATGCCCAAAATGGGCAAGGACAGCTGGAGGGGCTGAGGAGTAGAAAGGAGGGGCAGAAGCCAGGACACCCCACTATCCTTAACTTGTTGGTATCTCAGATTACATAAAATAAGAATGGAGTATCCCGAGATGAAGGCAGAGGAGGAAAGGAAAGCTCTCAGTGGCAAAGGATCCTGGGTGTGTGGAATTGTGGAAGGAAAATTGCAGGCCGAAAACAGAAAAACTGACAGGAGACAAACTGTGACTTGCTAAAGGGAGGCTATAAGTGAGGAGAAATGATAGGAAGCAAAAAAAAAAAAAAAAAAAAAGGAAAGAGGAGGAGGAAACGGCAGAGAAGTAGAGACCTGGGGTTGTCAAATCAGGAGGTTGCAGTGCTCTGGGTCATCACTAAATATAGACAGGCAGACAGAGGGCAGGGGAAAGAGGCCAGAGTCTTTTCGTGTTGTGATCTGCTCCTTTATATGACACCTCCTTAATTCTAGCCCTGGAAGCAAAGAGAAAGATCTCAGTAAGCTGGAGAGGAAGGGTAGAGACGGCATCCTTTCGGGAAGCAATTGTAGCTTAATAGCAACTTCTATAATGGCCATGAAATACTCTTCTAATGGTGGAGAGTTAAGCATTCAACAGAGAGCTGGGGGAAGGTGACACGGTTGGGGTGTTACCTTAAACCTATCTCTCTCCAGCCTGGGACCCTTCTCTTTCAGGGAAACCCATATTTGAGGGACATAAATAGCTCTAAGGTTCAAAGAGGGAAGTTGCCTGGAAAATTGGTCCCAGATACAAGCTAGGATACCAAGATGTATCCTTACCCCCAAGAGCCCCTGCCAGGCTGCTTGAGAAACCCCAACAGGAGTTACTGCCGTTAACTGTCATTGCATCTTTCCCTAACCGCAGAGGTGGAAGATTTACTCCTGCGTGCAGAGAATACCTTGAAGCACTCCAAGAGGAGTGCTTCAAAGCAAGAGCCTTCCAGTTCTTGCTGCCTCCGTTCACCGGTGCTCTAGTGAGACACAAGGTCATGGCCAGGAGTGGAAACCCAAACCCCCTGTCTGTAACAGTGATGTAGTACCAAAGAAGATAACAAATGAGCCCCAATATTATTCTATGATTGCCAACAAGGGAGAAGGACTGAGATCTAGGGTTTCCTTTTGGATAGGGGTTTCTAATTCTACCATTGCTGTTCAAGAGGACTCTTGTAGAGAGACCCAGCATAAAAAGGTTTTGTGGGGGCACAAGCGTCTACTCAAGAGATGACTTCAACTCATCAACTTCTAATGGGTCCAAGAGTTGAGCATTTGATGTCAGTGACATCCTGGTCAAGATGTCTGTCTCTTCCCTTTTGGATTCCCTGTCGTCCCTCACCTCTGGTATTTGTTCAAGAATTCACCCATTCATAGCACATGGTCATTTTTTAATGAATTATTTGCTGACCTGTGATGAGTAGTGGAGAGCAAAGACGAATGAGACAAAGTTACTGTCTGCAGGGAGAAAGGGGAGAAAGGCAGGAGGAGAATGAAAACAGAAATACAAGGTTCAGTCTGATGGTGTGGATGAACACACTTAGCTCTCAGCCCCCAGAGAAAGCAACTGCTGACAGAACATTAAAAATCGAAAAATGACCCCGAAGAAACGTAACAGGTTGGAAATAGCGATTCCTGCAACCAAATAGACAGGAAATAAAAATGAAATGAAAAATTTTACAAGAGTTGTTTGTCCTTTCAGGAGTTTACAGTCTCAGAAAAATACACTCATAAGAGTCAAGGTGCTGACTTTAAGCACTGACATTGGGGGAAGGGAAGTTATTTGAGATCTTTGAGTCCATTGAAAATGCAGACTAATGCTGGAGCCCTCAGGCTGTAAGAGGTTCTAAGGCACACTCTGAATGCATCAGAAACAAAGGGTTTGGGGCAACAGACTAGGGAACACCTCAAGATCCTGATTTGGGAGTTGCATGGTTGTATAGAGGTTATGATTGTGTGTGGCAGCTGCCGCATCTGTGCCTTCAAGTGAAGAGACCCAAGGCCTGATTTTATAAAGATGGTGACATCTCAAATAATGGTTAAAGGGGAGACTTAGTGACCTCAAAAAGGAGGCCAGAAAAAGAGGTTTCAGGTTCAGGTTGGAATGTCACAAGATGGTGTTTCCTGGAGGTCAGAGCCAGAAGATAAGGAGAAAGCTGTGAACCCTGGAAACAAGCTGAGCCCTAATCCCTCTCTGCTGTCCCCATGCCGGCCAGGTTCTCTCTCTGCTGATGAACAGCTTACAAAGGAAGGTTGTCTGATGAATCTCAAATATACCCACAGAGAAACAGTTGGGCCAGGAAAAGGAAATAAGAATGCTGAGATGATATCTGCAGAAAAAGAGTTTCCTGCAGAAGACTTCAAAGAGAAGCGTAACTCACAGTGCTAAAGAGATTGAAGTAGGAATGGAGACCCGCTCTCTCCTCAAACCTGGGTTTCCTCATTCCTCATAGAAAGAATGATGGAAGCCATGGTAGCATTTCCAAGTTCATAATGGTTGCTGGAACACCTTCCTCATCTTTGGTGTAAGAATGGCTCAGAGAATTAACACATTTCTACACTGTGTGCTTGTGGAGTGAGTGGAAAGCGGGGGTTACATTCCTCCCAGCATTTTTCCTGGGAAATGCAGAAAATACAGCAGGTTGAGAGAAAGAAGTTTTGATGACAGACATCTTCATGTAGAAGAGAGGAAATGCAAGAAAAGCAAAAAACCAAGAGAATGGGATTTAGTTGGAGTAGGGGTGCTGAGGGCAGGGAATGGGTAGGGTACAACACTGGCATCTGCCCTTATTCTCTGTTTTAGTTCTAAGATGCATCCTCTTACAGAAGCAGGAGAGGCAGCTCTGGGCTGTGAATGACTCCCGAGGGAGTGGTTGTCCCCAGCCTATGAGTGGCACCACTGGGACTTGCTGAGACCCCTGTCCCAGCCAGTTCTGAGCTGCCTTGGGCACTCAGGGAGAGCTCTTTCAAAGCCTCCTCATGCAGCCCAATCCAGATGTTCCCGGAGGAATTGAGGGAGCACTGTTGATTTTTCCTTGATTTTGTTGAAGGCTGGGTGGACAAGAATCTCTTCCAGAAGTGAGAAAAAAAGCAGGTCTTGGGGAAGGGACAGTACTGTGCTCAGAAGTTTCATGAAATAAGCAGTGAGGTGTGTGCTCTGAGGTCACCAGGAGTCCCTCAAGGCACCACCGAGACTGCAGAGAGACAGTACCACCACCATTAGAGTGTGCCATCTGCCCGCTAGCCTCACTCTGCACACCCCACTGCAAAGAGGGCTGTTTCTCTGAGACGGCCAGTTCTGCTAGTCAATTGCTTTTTTTTTTTTTTTTTTGTATTTGGGTACCAGGGATCAAACTCACAACCGTGTGCTTGCAAGACAGGTGCTTGTGCCCCTTCCAGTCTTTTTCTCTAGAGGCCAATACTTGCTACAGGGCTATGGAACTAGAGCTGTGAGACTTGTAAGTTCCTTCCCTATGAAAAGAAATCCAGATGAAATTGCAAATGGACTAATCACAATGCACTTCGAGAAGCTAGCAGCATCCCGGATTCAGGGTTGGGTTTAAGATTTCTTTTCAGCCAGGTTCCCAAGGTGGTTTTCTCTGCTTTAGGGGCTTGGAGTGTTTAAGCTACAGGAGAAATGTGACTTCCAGGTGTCCATTTGTATTGCCTTAGAGTATACCTTTATATACACCTTGGCTCCCACCCCAAATTGAAGGTCCCCAGAACTCACTGTGCATATAGTGCACAAAAACTTGCATCACACACAAGTGCTGCTTATCTGATCTCTGCTTCCCTATTCCACAGCACCCTCCATGGCCATTTCCTTATTCACCAATGAATGTTTCTCCAGTAAGTGCCTCCACGTAGTTCCTTGCCTCAGCCCAGAGAAAGACTTCATACTTGGAGAAACGACAGTGGTCACATAATTGCAGGGAACTTCGTTAGACTTTGCATATCAAGATCCATGGTCTCCTCTCATGTAGCACTCAATAGGAACTTAAAATTCATATGCAAGAGTAATAGCTAAGATGTCATAGGAAAACCACTTATATTGTGGGTGGACAGGAATGTGACAGCCCCCCTCTAATTAAGGTCTCATATCTTATAGGAGATACTAATTTCTATCATCTTCCTTTATACATTTCTATCATCTTCCTTTACAGACCAGGAAAATCCACTGGGGTAGAGTGCATCTCAGATTATCTTAGGTAGAGTATATCTCAAATTATTGACAGCCGCAAGTACATGAGTATAGGGAATTCAGAGAAGCCAGCCATTATGGCGCATGTCTAGGTTCCTAGCCCTTTCAGAAGCTAAAGCTAGAGAACTGCAAATTAAGAAAGACAGAGACCAAAATGAAAGGGAGCTGGGCTCTTTCTACTGCCAGGTGGCGGCTTCAAATCCTTCTGACTTTCAATGTCAAGTAACAAAAAAATGAGATATGAGGGCTTTTCGGGGGAGTAGAAAAAAGACAGGGTAAATTGATCCTGGGATGGAACCAGCCAGATTGTTTGAGCTATATGTTAGTGCTCGCCTTTCACACAGTGGCTCGTTACCTTAGA